CTGGAAATAGTTGAACAATTCTGCCGGTGGGCCATTTTAACGGAGGTTGATTTTCTTCTATTAAAACTACTAATAAACCTTCCTTGACTTCAGTTCCGGACTTGTTCCACTTATATCGACTTTGAAGTTGGCTGAGATAGTCTCTAGACCAGCGTTTCCAAAAGTGCTGAATAAGTTGTTGAATTCTTTTGTAACGAGATAATAGTTTCATGTTTTCTTCGATGGCTTCATCTTCGGGCAAAGCTTTGAGTGAGTCCCCAAGAAGAAAATGAGAGGGTGTTAACGGAACGAAATCATTGGGATCGTCAGAGATAGGAGTCAAAGGACGCGAATTCAAACACGCTTCAATTTGAGTAAGGACAGTGTATAATTCCTCATAGCGTAGAAAGCTATTACCTAAAATGCGCCTTAGATGAAATTTACACGATTTTACCGCTGCTTCCCAAATGCCTCCCATGTGTGGCGCCTTGGCAGGTATAAAGAACCATTTAATTTCCTCTTGGGCTAAGTAATCTGATACTTTAGAATTATGATCCTTGTGAGTAAGTAGTTTATGAAGCTCTAGAAATTTATTGTGAGCTCCCAAAAAATTGGAGCCATTATCAGAATGGATTTCTAGAGGTTTACCGCGACGTGAAATAAATCTTTTTAAAGCATTTAAAAAACCTTCTGTTGTCAAATCCATAACCAATTCCATGTGAACTGCGCGAATAACCAAGCAAACGAAAATACAGATATATGATTTGACAAATTTACTATTTCGAGTAGTACCTTCTTTTACTAAAATTGGTCCAGCATAATCGACCCCGCACTTTGAGAACGGTCGCGCTGGTGTAACTCTACACTTAGGAAGATCACCCATTAAAATTGGAGTAGGTTTAGGATTCACCTTAAAAAAATTAATACATTCTTTAATTATGCGTTTAACCAAAATCTTACCCTTCAGAGGCCAATATTTAAGACGTATAATTGACAACAATAATTGAGCTCCAGCATGTAAATTTCGGATGTGTTCAGAACGAACTAACAATTTAGTTAAATAGTGCTCATAGGGAAGTATGATTGGATGTTTATGTTCATAATCTAAATTGGAATGTTTTAATCTTCCACCTACTCTTAATAAACCATCTTGATCGAGAAACGGGTTTAATTTCAAAATTTTACTAGTCCTTAATATTGGTTTTGAAACTCGTAACGTCTTAATTTCATCTGAAAAATACTGAGATTGTGCCATAAGAATCAACCGCTTTAAAGCTAATTTTAATTCATCTGAAGTTACATTATTACTTTGAAAACGTTTTTTATTTAATGATATTTCTTTAAACCTTAATATTCGAGCTACAACCCTTTGTAATTTATATAAATTTGAGAATCTATTTAGATCATCGCTTTCAACTGATGACTGAGTTACTAAAGTTACTGAAGTTGATTTTAATTCTGGTAACTCTGTATAATTTGATAAGACGGAACAATGTTCATCATTATCATTTCGCTTTAATAAAAACTGTGGTCCATGCCACCAAATATAAGCGTCGATTAATTGTTCAGGAGCTATTCCGCGTGAGATAAGATCTGCGGCGTTATTTTCGCTTGATACATGTCTACACTCATAATTTTCAGTTAATTCTATAATTTTAGCCACCCTGTTGGCTACAAATGTTTTTAACTTATTAGTATCAGTTTTCAACCACGCGAGTACAATTGTTGAATCCGAATAAAATGTAACTTGTTTAAGCTCAATATTTAGAGAATTTATAACTAAATTGGCTAACTTTGCAAGTAAATATGCTGCTAACAATTCAAGTCTAGGCAATGTAAGACACTTTAAAGGTGCTACCTTTGATTTTGCACATAACAGGTAAGACTTTCGTTCACTGTAACAATTTTCGGATACAAGGTAAATGCAAGTACCATAAGCCTTCTCTGAGGCATCGCAAAATTCGTGTAGTTCGATTCTTACAAAATTAGCTTCTACAACGTGTCGTGATATCTAAATATTATTTAAACAATTAAGTTGCAAGAAAAATTGCAACCATTGGTTCGCTATTTCATCGCTAACAACCTCGTCCCAATCTAATTTTAACTGAAATAAATGTTGAATTATTAATTTTGCCTTAATTAACGCAGGGCCAATTAATCCTAATGGATCAAAAATTTAGATTTGGTTGAGAGAATTGTTCGTTTCGTGATTATTTCATGAGTGTGTACATTAACTGAAAACTTAAACTTATCTGATTTA